TTGATGTGAATGGATGATTGGGAACTGTTTCACCTGAATTTTAGACTAGACTTTCTCTTGTTTTTACGCAGAAAATTCTTGGAGGACTCTGAACCTAATACGAAGTTCTTCAAAATATATTAAGCATGATGAAGTTATTACAAAAAATGAAAATCTTTCCTTCCCTCCCAAAATTAGTCAAGATCTAACAGTAGAGTTTTGTCTTTCAATTCTTAAAAGATTTCCCTGAATGGAAAATGTACTTTGTTCTCTTTTGGGAATTATATGAGGAAAGAAGTAAGGTATCCATTATGATGTACTAGTGCAAGAGAAATCTCAGTAATAATGTACTTTCCAAGAACAAAGATAAAGAGGTTATTTTGAATTATTACAAAATCTAGTCTTGCTTATGGAAACAAGAACTATCAGGTTCAAAGAAATTTGTTCATTAAAAAAAGGACTCACTACCACATTACCTGAAAAGAGCAAGTGTTATGCCAGTGGTTATATAACTCTTCTACATCTGACAATCTTTCTGACATTTGTGGACATAATCTGATTCAGAAAACTTGATTGTATTTCTAAGGAGATGTGAAGATCAGGTGAACAATATCCACTAATATCAGCAAAAAGAGACAGAAAGTCTTTATTTTCACTGTGCTAATTAACATAACCAATTCATTAAACAATTAGTCTTAGAAAATCAAATGAATAAACACAAACACAGACCCTCTGTCAAGCATGTGAAGCATCTAGTAGATAAAAATTAATAATGATAATAGGTAAAATCCCACATTCTCAAGCTGTTTGGTGTTGCAATTCAGCTATGCAGATGAAAAGAAAATATTACATGGGAAAATCATATGACTTGTTTTCCTGTTAATACCCTTATTTATATATGTCATAGACGGGCTGTAGCGTTAAGGAAGATGTGAGGTGTGTTAATATAGCAGTCAAAAAGACTGTATAGCACAAGCTCGGTGTGAACAAGACTTTGTCAATATCCTCAGGTCTCCAGTGAGCAACAAGAATGGCTCTCAGGATATTGCAACTCTGTCTGCTTCCACCAGAGATCATAATTGGGGTATGACTTTTTAGAGCAGGAAGGTCTTCCTGCCATAGGCAGAGACTAACAAAAAGTTTAGATAAATTAATGCCAAAAAATCTCAGCACAGTATGAGTAGTATATGAGGACATCACTTAAATATGTAGTGTCTGTACTTCTTTTACTTGCTTTAAAATAGATTTCCAATATGGTTTACTGGTTAGAGCTTCTCAAATATAACTTGTTTCTGAGGATTTCTCAGCATTCTGGTTTTCTGCCCAGTGACATGATATATACTTTGGGGAATTCAAGAAGCCAATTGAGGTGAGTGGAGGTGATTTATAAATCGAAAGCAAATGATAGCAAAAGATGTGAACTAAAGCTATTTCCTGATCTGCGAAAAGCTAATTGGGCACATTTCAGGCCAGGTCTCTGAAGGCGCAGCTCATGAACTCTGTCTTCCTGATGCTGTGCTCATTACAGACACTCAATAGAGGACCAGCTAATGCTAGGGAAATCCCATCAAGGTGGCCTTTACAAGGAGACACTGCAGATTTACCTCAGGAAGGAGAGAAGAGAAGAAAAAAGGTAGGGGGAAGTTCCAGGCAACTACCTGTTTATAGATTCCTTTTTGCCTTATCTAATTTATCTGAAACTGAGGAATTAGTCTCTAAAGTCTACCCTGCACAAAATCTCAAGGGACTTTTGTCGTGCTCAAACATATCAGAGTTTTCCCAGGCCTTATCTTTTACTCATTTTTGTTGAAATAAATTTGGAATTTTTTGGTTCTGGGGTTAGTATTTTATAATGAAGACGACATGCAGCTCACATGACAAATATTCTGGAACAACCTATATTTACTCCTGATGCTTGAACATTTTAATGACAATTTTGAATGAATTAATTGTTATCAAAATTTCCTAAGCTATCCTCAATTATTCATATTAATAATTCCAGGTGAAATGAAGTGTACTGCATTGGCATCTCACTTTTAAAGAATCAAATATCAAGAAAAGGAAGACATTGTACATATCCACAAAGTTGCATGTAAGAAAATTTTCAGTGACGTCAGAAACACAAATCAACATATTGTGGAAGCAACATGATGGGTGATATCTACGTGGGGACTTGAAACTAGGATCTGAGGCAATAACATTTTTCAGAAGGGAGAGGTGGACTCTAACCCTTGAAATCTTCTTGAGTGATATTGTCACATATTGCAAGCAAGGTTTAGACATTTATAATCCAAAATTCATAATCTCTCTGGGTCTTTTGCAGTTATGAGAGTACAATTCCATTCCAGAAAACTCAGGAAAGCTTCCTTTATCATTGTATAAGTGTTATAAAATGTATGGTTGTCCATGAGTTAGCTCATCAAAGACAATATGAGAAAAGTACTCAAAATATTCTATAAATCTCTATAACATTCTCCTTTAATAGATCTTTAAATTTGAAAAAAGATACTCTGTACATTGAGACAAGAATTGCTACTCTACACTTACGTATAACTAGAGAGCATAAGGAGGTTTGGTGGGTATTAAGGATCCTTTGTGAAGTAATTAACTTATGTACTGATTTTACTTTGTATTTTTCTAAGCAGTTAATTGACTCTCCCACCAAATTTTAAAGATATATAAGTAATTTGCCATTCAGATGATAGTCTTTTGATTCATAAAATCAATATATAAACATAGATATTTAGAAATAGAAAGCATCTTAATAGTCACCTAGTATAAATTCTTCAATTTTATCAGGTAAGGAGGCAGAAGCAGGATATGTGACTTTACACTGGTTTGCACCTCTATGCTATGATGGAGCTAGAGCAAGAAGGCCAATCTACTGACTTATACTCAGGTCTCCTTATCTACACTGCACTGGGGTGATAGCAACTAGAGTAGTTTTAAATCTTTGTAGATGTTTCATTGCAAATTGATGTTTTAGTTTTTTAAATGATAACATAATCAGAAACCATACAAATCTGAGCTGTAGACATTCTCTCTTAAAATGTAAGGTATTCCTTTATTTTTTTCTTGAATGTTAGCACCTTTTGTTCAGTAAGAAATGAAGTAGAAAATCCTACATTGTAACTAAATTTCATTAAATTAAAAAAGTTGGAAAAATCAGTTTACATGCGATTGTTTTAATTAATGCCCTTAACTTAGATCCCAACAGCTATACAATAATGTTCTTAGCTTAGACAAAAGTAACACCCAACAGAAGATAAAGACTCAAATCAAAAAAGCTTTCCTTTAAAAAAATACATGCATATACATGTTATATATGAAACATATAGAAACATATATCTTGATTTTTAAATAAAGTAGATTTTATACTGAATGCTGAAAATAGATGCAAGTTGTACAGCTGAATTCATTCAAATAAGTCATTTGAATAGATGAGGACAATTCTCTCTTGTCTATACTCATCCAATGTCAGCAGAAATCTTTTGCACATAAAGTAAATTCCTTGAAGTCAATTGTCCAAAATAGAAACACATTCAAAGGATGAACATACTAAAATAATGAACAGAAGGGCAACATAAAAACAGAAATATTTTTTGAATAATGTGGAACCCTTCATCCCTCAAAATTGCATGTGAGGCAAAATCCACATAGTCGTATTTGCTAGATAAACTTCCCCAAAGCTGTTTTTTACCAGTGTTTCATTTTAAAACTTTGTTTTGCACTTTTTTCAATTAGCAAAGTTACTTCTATCAAAAAGTTATTTCTCTTGAAATGGACCAACACACTATTATAGGTCACTTATAATCACTTGACTACCTAATTCTGAAAAGCTCTCATCCCACCTTTCTAAAGAGAAAAATCATTCTATTTTTCTTCTCCAATTTAATTAGATCTTGTGAACAGATATTTTTAAACAAATATGTATTCTAGATAAACTATTGTTAAAATTAATGTATAGGACAAGTGTTTCAGGAGTTAACCAGGCAGGAGCACAACTCCTGCTAACCCACAGCAGCCCCTCCTTGGGGAAGTGGCTAGTTCTTGAACTAAGTAACTCAGACAAGGAGGGAGCTGGTCCTTGGCCAATAAAACAACTCAAGTCTACTACTCTCCCCTTTCCCATCTGTATTCTCTGTCCCTTTGGCTGAAACTTCTTCACAAATCTTGTGCTGAATCCATCTGGATCTTGAACTTCCTCCTGCTTTTTCTCTCCTGAGCAATCCTTAGGTCCAACAACTTGGACCTAAGTTGCTGGGGACTGCTCATCGCCCATCAGCTTTGGGTAGGTCCTTGCCAACACCGGGGAAAGCCACCGCTAGTTCACCTTCATGAGACTGGTGGAATTTATCTATTATACCTACATGAATTCAAGTTCCAAAGAGCTACAGTGACTCATTGATTTGTATTCTGGTTCCAGGCTCCCAGTACCTATACAATGTAACATAGACTCCTTGCAGGCAGGGAATTTGGCAGATTTGGCCTGGTTTTAGTTTCTCTTCCAGCAATCCCTCCAAGCTTTACAGTGTGTTTGGCACGTGATAAGTGTTCAATAAACAAACTTTGAAGAAGAGAGGATTGTATTAAGCTAAGAAAAAGCTGGAAAGGGACTTAAAATTGGAAGGTTTTCTTATGTGTCCATGAAAAAAGACTAAAAATGTAAGTTTCGGAGTATCATTATTAGTAATTACTGTTTTAAATCAACCTTTTCAGATTTCCACTGGCACCAATCAGGCAGGCAGCAAGAAATCCAGACTGCAGGCTGTCCATTGCCCCGAATCAGGAGACACAGAGCCTCAGGTCAAAAACTGGAACAACTTCTTGACAGATATGCTGGTGGCTTCCGTGGGGCTCTGGGTCCCCTATTCCTCTCGGCCCGCTGCCTTCTGGGAGCGCTGGAACCACAGAGGGCTTTGCATAGGCGCACTCCTATTTTCCGGGTTTTAGGAAGAGCCCGCGGGGGCTGGGTGGGGGGCGGGTAGGGGGGCCAGAGGAGCCCCGCAGAGCCCCGAAGCCTTTGCCACAACTGTGGGGAGCTCCCGCGCCGCACAGGGCTCTCTAGCGTTGCGGTGGCTCAGGAGATGCTGGAGCGCGATGCCCTGCTGCTCCACCTTGCTCACTGAGCTCTGTGCGGGGAGCCCGAGGGAGGGCGGGGGGCGCAGACTGCGGTAGAATGCGAGCCTGGCACCTCTGGCGCCGCGCGACGTTGCTCGAGCGCGGTCAGGTGCTGCTCGCCGGCCGTTCGCCGCTCCACTAACTTGATACTTGCTAGTGACTGGTCTCCGAAGCTTTCCAGGCTTTGTGGTGGTGGGGGGCGGGGAGAGTGGGGAGTTAAAGGGTCTGCGGTAGCCGAAGGAGGGATCCTGAAAAGGGGAGCCTGCTTAGTGCAGCTCGTCTTCCCCTCCCTAGCTCCCCTCCCCCCACCCCATCGCTGCCTCTTTCCCTTCCGCCAATTCGGAGAGCTTCGGGCGCCTGTGAAATGCGATCGCTGCCAAGTGACAGTCCCCGAGTCTGAAGTGCCCGCGAGGAAGTGAGCGCCAACGCGGGCCGCCAGCGATGACAGCCATGAAGCAGGAGCAGCAGCCCACAACTGGGGCCAGGGCGAGCCAGGCGCAGTCCGCGGACCAGGTGAGTTGGCAGTCGAGGCCGGGCCCTCCAGGGAAGGGTGGCTTGGGTCTGCGCTCCTCCGGCCCCTCCTCCTCCGCTCGGCTCCCACGCCTCCCGCTCCCCACCCTCCCCCCGGGCCCCAGTTCCAAGCTCTCCTTCCCTGTACATGGACTCTGCAGGAAGTTAGAGCATCCGAGTGCGCTCCGGGGCCGGGCGAGAGGATGCGCAAGGTGGAGAGCCACGGGGAAGGGGGCAAAGAGGTAAAGGCAGGGGATGGCCGGAGGATTCCGGGCGGGCGGACGACCGAAGGCGGGAGAGATAGCCGGGGCAAAGAAAGGGGGGTCTCTTGGCTCCTAGTAGCGCACAGTGGAGGAATTGGTGCGCTCCTGGGGGTGCTCACTAGCAGGGTTCGAGCCCGTGTATCTGAGACAAGCGCTGGCCAAAGCTACCCGAGGAGGCAAATGACCTTTAGGCCGGTAGAGTTTTTCCTTTCGTCACCTTTTTTTTTTTTTTTTCTTTTGAGGCGGCTGGGACTGAAGGCTAAATGGGGGAAGAGGATATATCAGGTAATCTGTAGTCTGCTGAGTGGAACGGAGATTGGGAGCAAAAAGACAATTATTGTGGAGAGCTGGGAAGACACTGGCTTTGGTGATTTGTTGGGTTCAGATGTACTGTGTTTACAGAGATGAGGTGTCCTGTGCTAGCTGAGGATCGTTTCTGGCCCCTCAACGTCTTTCCGCGCTGGCCACCCCCTTTTTGTTTCAGTCTTTACGGATCTGTAGCATAACCATACGGTGGATCTCCATCACGCCTCTGGCCCTGGGTTGGGGTGAGTGGTGAGTCCGCTGTCGGTTTTTTCCAAAGTTGTAGGGTCTGGAGCGCTAAGGTGCCTTGTCTGGGAGAAGGGAGGCTGTGATGCGTTGGCTCCAGGTGCTGTCACGTTACATCAATCAGAGACTGTGAGCTGAGAAGGCTACACTTAGTTATGTCAGCAGATAACCACGAAGCTAGAGCACAGAGGTGCTGGGGTACAGGATGGGCCCTCTGCCCCGAGTGCACTGTTGAAGGCTACCCGACGTTACTGGCAGATACACTCCCAGCTAATTAATTGCTAGAAGTGGGGTGAGGGGGGTGCAAGCAGCTAAGCTCCAGCAGCGGCTCTGCCCTTTGCATATTGTCAGCACTGAGGAGCAAGTGGAGGAGAGCTGTTTAAATTGTCCAGGAGTGGCTCCCAGGCAGAGGAGGCAATTCCGGGACTGCTGTTATTTATATTCTAGTCTTGGTCGTCTCTCCTGGCTTGTGATTTCTCTCTTCTCCCTTCCCCTCCCCTTCTCAGTTCCTTCATGTTTGTTTCACACAGGTGGTATTACTCAGGGGGTATTAGAGGCCCCTCCCCTAGTTTCCTGGGGTGAGTGTTTTAGTTTTTACAAAGTAGTTGTTTTCTTAAACCATCCTCTTTGCTCCCTTTCATCAGTATAAAAGGATTAACACGTTTATATTATATTGTATGTTTCTCCCCCTTACATCTCATTTCCCTGCTCCCTCCAACACACACTACAAGGTAGCAACTGGTGAGCAGATTATAAAAATCATTTCAGGAGAGGAGCAGGGATTTAACATCCTCTTTCAGTCCCTAAATTTCATTAACACATCACTGAGCTTCTCTATTGCTCTTGGAATGATGCTACCAATAAGAATGATTAGTCAGGTGAGAGTCCCCACATGAAATCTTTGCTCACTAACCTGTGACACCACCTGGTTACTTGAAGGGCTGCAAACAGTTGTGTTGGCAGTGGTCAGGAGGAAGAAGCCTAGCAGTGCAGAGGGAAGCTGAGCATGTAGGTGTAAATAGTGCATAGCAAAACCTTTTGTCACATCTAATCTGGTACTTCAAATTCAAGCTTGAATCCATTTTTCTTGTTAGCATACATATTCCAAATATTCAGGGAGTGGCCATTTGTAGAATTCCTGTTTTAATTGAGTTTTTAAAGTCCCTTTCTGAGTATTTATGTGATTTTAAAATGTCAGTGGTATGTATATTATGCTTGAATTAAAATGAAGGAGATTAATTTTGTGAGGAGAAGCAAAGTCAGATTGAAATGTACATGGCAGCACCTATTCGGGGGTTTCCAAGCACTCCCAGAAAAGACTTGTATCTTGTATAGTCTTTGTCTAAAGCTTGACATATATGTAAAGTGATAGGCAGATAATGTGGACAATTGCTGTGGATGCTTAAACTACTTGCTGTAAGATTACTAAGTTTTTATTAACAGTATTAGTCATTGTGGTCTAATTTTGCAATTGCCACACGACTCCCATGTGATACTAGATATAACACTTCCACATAGACATGATTGATTATTCAGGCTCTTGTGATATTTCGGAAAAAAATTCACAAATTTAAATTAAAGTGTAGCTTTATGAAGTCCTACTTAATGGTTAATAGAGGGCGTGTTCCAGCTAATCACTCACTGTGTATTGATTTTGAGTGATTCAAGCTTTTGAATGCTGCCAGAAAGGTTTTTTTGTTTTCCAAGGGAGAGGTTTTTATGAAACCTCAAAAACGCCTTGTCCTGAAGCTATTAGACACCTATTTTTATTTACAGTACAATAGAAGGCCTTGCCTTGTCTTCTGTCTGCTTGAAATGGTTAGGACCATATATTTAAATTGGCTGTTGTTCCAGTCCTTTAGAGAGCTGATCTTCCTGTTCTATCTTATCTGTTGCTGTGTTCTGGCACAGGGCGCCATGGGAGGCACCCTTTCCCCAGGAGCAGCAGCAAGAATAGAAGGGATTGTATACTTTTACTAATATTCTGAATCATTGGAAATATTTCTTATCATCTTAGTAGTATTTTCTGTAAAGCTTCATTGATTAAAATAAATGTTTACTACAATTACTTTTGTTGTTTTTGTGACACTTCACATTTACAAATGTCTAAAAATAAATGCATTGGTAAGGTTAGATACAGTAATTTCTATTTAACCTGCTCAATATCCCATTTTACATTGAGGGACCCAAAATCATCAGTTGCTAGTTATAACTTGTTTTTAAAGATTTTATTTTTAATTTATTTTCTAGAGAGAAGGGAAGGGAGGGAGAAAGAGAGGGAGAGACTATCAATGTGTGGTTGCCTGTGTTCACCCCCTACTGGGATTCCGGCCTGCAACCCAGGTATGTGCCCTGACTGGGAATTGAACTGCTACCCTTTGGTTCTCAGGCTGGCACTCAATCCACTGGGTCACACCATGTAACTTATTTTTTTAACTCACATTTAAAAAATGCTTGCCATGTGCACAGTTCTGTCATCCAGGTTGGTAAGGTAACATCTATTGAATGCATTTTCCTACTTGACCTTCAAAGCAACTTTTTTGAAGTAGGCCCTATTGTTATTCCATTTTAGAAATGAGAATATAGAGGACCAAATGAACTAAGCAATTTGATCAAGCATGTCTTCACAAGTGGTGGCAATGAGACTTAGTCTTAGTCTGTGACATTTAAGTAAAATAAATTAAAAAATAAGTGTATTTAAGTGTAAAGCTCAACTTTCTAATTTTTACAAAACCACAATTCATCACATTTCTATTAGAAGAATGCAAAACAATTGCAAATAGTGTTTGTGTGTACAGTTTAACCTTGAATGTAAAATGGATGAAGAATTTGTTTTAAAGCTTTAACAAATAATAATAGCTCTCAGAATTTTAAAGTTAACACTTTTTTCTTTTGATAGGAATAATATATAAAGAACCCCACAGATCTTGATGAGTGCACAGGAAATAGTTTTTTTTTTTTTTTTTTGGAAATATGTTTGTATACTCATTTGCCCTTCATAACATTGAGACTTTAAAGGTTTGTTGAATGAGTACAACTTATAATCAGATTTGGTTTAGAATTTGCCCACATTTCCACCAGGTGGCACCCTTCTGCTGAATCCAGTGGGTAAAAATAGTTCCTGAAATGTTTGTCCTTTTCAGCTTCAAAACCCAAGCCAAATCAAACCAAACAAAACCAGAAACAAAACAAAAATAAATTAATAAATAAAGAAAAACCCACACTACTGTCTGAAATCTAACTAAAAAATTATATTTTATAAGCAACTATTTATGCTGCAGAGATAGTGTTAGTTATGCATTTTTCTTTAAATAATTCTGGTAGACAACCAATTACAATGGAACATGTAGCAGCCTCTTGATCAAATCATTCATGGACAAAATTGTGATTAAATATGTAATGTATAAAATGCCTTTTTTTATTGTACTTTTTACCTTTAAGTAATATTAACCTAAAATGTCTCTATACAGAAATTAGGATTCAGTAATTTTACTTCAACTTTGGCCTAGCAAATCTGATTGAAATGTCAAATATATACTTAATAAAGCTTACCAAAAAGTTATTCTTTCATGTTTCCCTGACTAATATATAAATATCCTTTTATTTAGTCTATAAACTATTGTTTTCATCACAGAACTTCAAAAATAACTTTTAGAAATCATGTTGAAAATCTTTATTTAATAGAAGATTCATTACTTTTTATCTAAGCATTCAACATAAAATATATGGTATCTAATTACTGAGAGAGTTTTATCTGATGTGAGTATAAAAGATAATTTAGATTGGCTGTAGGCATCCTGCAGAAGTCCTTATGACTTAGGAGACATTATGGATTCTGTACTAACCCTTTATATATATACACTATATCTTCATATATATGGCATTTAATATACTGAGTTTAGAACATACCATGGAACATCCCTTGCTTATATGCTCTAATCTCTATATGTTTATTTTATAGACTGAGCAAATTGCACATTTAAGAAAGATTAAATTATATAAAAACAAGTTAAAATTGTATCATTAAATACTAATGCTACATTATCTTATGAAGTGCATTACATTGGAAACAGAACACTGACACCACATTTCTCTCAGTCTGAGTAAAAATAAATTTTTAAAAAATTTGGGGTTTTAAAAAAATCATTTATGATTACATAATATTATAAGCCTTAGTTTATGGGCATATTG